TTCATTTATAGCTTATTTGGATGTTATTTCGTTGAACAAAGCCAGTTATAAGTTAGTGATTTCGTGCGTACGGGACCGCTTAATCGTGAAGATTAATCGATATGTCAGATTAATATATTTTTAAAGAAAGTTTTTTAGCTTAGAATCAATCCACTGTCGTTAAGCTGAATTACCCAACCAGTTCATGATTCAGTTGAATGTCAACACAACTCATATTATTGAGCGACATTCAATGGAGCTATATTTTAATATTGTTACAAGTTTTTGTTTTATATATCCGTTCGTACACAAGTTCCAAGAGGAAAAGTTACTTTACGAATGCTTACATGACTTAAAACAATACTCCTCGACGATCTATTGCCAATAAAGTTTAACTTTTATGTCAACAGGATGCGAATTAAAATTGCAAAGCGACAGTCGTGTAAACCATTAATACAATATGTTTGCTTAAACGGTCATCGGTTAAAATGTCGTGCCAACTTAAGCATTATTATCAGCTACACAAGGTGTAACTTATATTCGCAGTTTAAGGTATTGCATTTCAGTTTTTTTTTTTTCTAAGAAATTCTATTAATATGAAATAATGTGAAACGCATTCATATTTTTAATGTTTCTTATAATATTTCTATTTTATCAATCATGTGAGTTCATATTCGTCAGCAGGCAAGAAAATCTATGCTATAAAACTAAAGTGTTTGTTTGGCTGAACGCGCTAATCTCAGGGCCTACTCGTTCAAATTGAAAAATATATATATTTTTAATAGTCCATAATCCACAGGCTATATCATACGTTACGCATAACAGGAGGGAAGCAGCAATAACAAATGTTGCAAAAACAGAAAAACCTCGCGGGCGAAGCCGCTGGCGGAAAGCTAGTAACTGTATATATGTTACCTAATTTAAGTAGGTAAATATTTTTAATCCAAACATACCATAAGCAACCATTATAGAATATAGAAGTTATCAGCACCTTTTTTAAAAATATATTATAATATGGTAATTACCATGGATGGTACTCAAAGTAATTTCCCACTCTTTGCCATTTTATTTGCTTATTTCTATTTCATAATTAATCCGATAATCTAGCTACCCTTTTTATTTCTGCCTTAAATTTGTAAGTAGATTTTGACATGAATATAGCATAAAAAAATAAGAATCAAATAAGTTTAGCATTCATTTAATTTATTTTATATCTTTACTGTCGTAATATTATAATTACCTGTTCTATTTTAGAATTTACATAAGCTTTATTATCATCACTCATAAAATAAAGCATTTGATGTAAAAAATAACCTTGATTTTAGCGAAGCATAGAGACTACTAGCGAAGTCACAAATAAAATATTCGAAAACTTCGAGACACATCCGCTTAATCCGCTGAAAATGACAAAACAATGTTTTATATAATAACTAGCTTTCGCCAGCGGCTTCGCCCGCGTGGACCCTAGGGAAATGTTAAGTGGGATAAAAAGTATTCTATTATCTAAGTCAGCTAATACCCTATCTGTATACCAAATTTCATCAAAATCCGTTCAGTAGTTTTGGCGTAATTGACCGACAAACATCCAAAGAAAGAAACTTTCACATTTGTAATATTCATAGGATTAGAATGCCATATGAGGATTTTCGTATCACTAAAGTTTATGGCTGGTGTACACGTAATTAAGTAGTAAGTAGATTTCAATCTTAATTTTAAGTGATTAATTTCATATAAACACACAAATTTGAAATAAGTAACAAGCCATTTACTAAATTTTAACTTGCTACTTATTACTTATTTATCTGTTAACACTAGGGTTCGCAAAAATCCGATATAAAATATATAAAAATATACGATATTTGATATTTATGCGATAAATATCGGATTTATATATTGCATATGAATTGCTGCGATTTTTAAGCTGCAAGCGGCTTTATTTAATATTTGATGCTTAAAATTTCCTAATTTCGGGTCAATGTGGTCAACGTCACAGCAGGTTTGTTAATTTTCTAGTTGAGATTCTATACTCAAACTTTCAATAAATATTATATCAACGTATACATCAAATGATATATATCATATTGAATATCCGTTGATATTGGTCTGCAAACCATGGTTTACACATACTTAATTACTTAAAATTAAGTTAAAAATCTACTTAGGTACTACTTATCAACATAATTACGTGTAAAGCAGCCATTAGGTACATTTTATTCTATTTACATCACTATAGACTTGCGTACCGAGATTGAAGCTAAACGAACACGTACGACTTACGTCTGAGGTCGACAAACTAACGCATCTTTTTCGTCATCTATAAATAGGTATGTGGATTACGTAACAAGCGAAAAATAGCAACAACAATTGCAGCCTTGAACGAGTTAGTAGGCGTATGCACGCACGCATTGTCTTCTATATAATGGACACCGCATGCCCAGTGAATAAACAACACTATGAAAAGTAATTTTATTGACATTTAATAAGTAGAAAGTGACAAATCTAAAAAAAAATCTATTAAATCGTGATAAACCTCTGTGGAATCTTTACACGGAACTAAATAGTCGGGTGACGTTCTAAAGTTTGAATTTAGAAGAAGAAAAAATCCGCCTTGATTGTGGATAACATTATGGTTCGAATGTACACGTTAACAGTTATTTAACCTATTGAATTTAGAATTTAGAAAAGGAGTATCGTAAATCAATCAGTAAAGAGTTGGAACCATTGAGTTTTTAATGTTTCAAAACTGTGAACAGATGCCACAGCTGTTCCTATGACGGTCACGTTCACGAATCTGACTGTGTAAGTGCTACGGGTTAGCTCGTTAAATTTTTATTGCCACAAGGTCGCCACTTTATGGTCAATTCTCAACAGTTATTGTTCGCGGACAGTTTTTTACAACTAGCTTCAATCTCCCGGCTGAAGTTACGATTGACAGTGATTAGGTTTTAATTGTTATAACACTATAAAAACTGTTTATAAGCGCTTAAATTTTTATTCAGATCTGTTTGACTTAAGGAGCTATTAATACCTATAATAAAAAAATTAAGTCAGTTATTTGTGGAATTTGAGATTTTGAATATTTCCAGCTATAAATTTTCATCCGATAGTAAACTCTCACGATAGATATAAACTTGTTTTGCAATAAAAAAATGTCCTAGCTACGTAAGAAATTCACAAAATATTATATTCTTCAATAAATATTCTTCTATCTCTTCTGAATGTTTAATCTAAATGATAATAATTCATTAAATATGTATGAAATTGATAAGTAAGAAGGTAGACTACAAATAAGTAATTGCTATCTTGTGATTTTTTGGACTTTAATTCTTAAAAGTCTTCTAAAGTGTTTTTTTTTTAACTTAAGTATATTAGCGAAATATATATGTGTAGATATATTAATATATTTATCAATATGTCTATATCTTGAATATGGTCTCTGCGCATTATGACAAAACAATTATTGTTATGTCTGTGATATCGGCTTTTTCGGTGATATCGGCTTTCTTGGAATCGGTGTGTAATAAAGCAATTTGTGGGCCGCAGCAAAACAATGGGCCCTTTCTAAGCTTGTTTTAAAAGCTTTCGACGCCTGATTTAAAACCCTTTGACTGGTACCGTATTTGTAAACATAACACAAAGGGGTTACTGAAAAAAGATTTTGCGCAATTGATGTTGGATTGCGTTTTGTTTTCTTTTTTAGTGCGAACCCGGTGAGAGTTGCGTTTCGCTCGATTTTAATAGGTATTCCGATTTTGAAAGGCGGTAAAGCTTGTAATTTAAATAGAAGAAACGTTTTAATGTTAATCTGCATGAGATGCCTAATCTATTTTAATCGTCTAAAGTTCTTTTCCTTGCCTAAATTAATCCAAAATACGTAGATGTATTTAATAAATATCTAAAAACATCTAAAATTCGTATCTACGAGAACATCTTATTGATAATATACTTAAGAGACAATTAAGACAAAAACATGATCGCCGTTTCATCGTATAAGATAAAAAATATATTTTAAAAAAACTTTTGTTCTGTTGTATACAGTTTAAATATTCAAAATTACACAACGAATCCTTTCGAATGTTACCTTAATGTTGTCTATTCGCAACATAATGGGTACAATCAACCTTTTGTTCTTGGTGAAAGGTTGTTTTCATTGCAAAAATGCTTTAAACCCTTTTCGCCATTTTTTGCACATTATAGACAATGGTCTGAATGGTTTGTTGCAATTGTAAATATAAAAAATACAATAAAAACAGAAGTGTAAACAGTTTTTTTACTGCAGGTAGCACCTTTGTCAGTCTTTACTAGTTTTTTTTTAGAAAGTTTAAAAATGTAAGATGGTATAATTGGAGCTGTCTTTCACAAAACAGGATATGTAACTAATTAAATACACGAATTTTATTAAAAGTAACCAGACGATAATACAATGCACATGTTATTTATCAAAATTTGAGAATGAATTGCCTTGTTACTCTTAAAGTTTTCTCAAAGCGATATTTTTTTACGAAGCTAGTTAAATCAATCTTTGCAACATAACCACATAAAGGCTTATTTGTTAGTTTTGGTGTACACATCAGCAACTAAGTATCTATCATATGCTAATTATATATGTAATTAGCACCACAGGTAGCATTGAAAAATTATCGAGTGCGATTGAGACGCATCAATTTTTGTAATTATATTTGAATAGCGCCATCTATTTTCGCAAAGAGAACTAAGTTCTTTAAAAAAAAATCAGTTTCGATTCGCAATCGATGAGGTAGGTAATTGTAACCTTTTTTGTAAAGTTGTTATTCTTACTGTAAGGTTTTACTACCGCTCGCGAAAGTAGCTTGCATATGGATTTGGTCCAATTAATTAAAACATTATATAACCATATCATATATATTTATACTATTAATTATACACATCACTGATTTGTATATAAAGAAGCTATTTCAACATAATCTCAGTTGCTCATGCGTACTGTCCTTTAACCAAATATACTTAAAACTAAAAGAAAATAAATTTGAAACGATAAATACCATTGAACTCACCGCAGACCACGCGGTCGAAGGGGCTCATCCAATCTGGAAATGGAAAATCTATTATCAATCGTATTGAAAGTCCTTCGGTCCGGTAGATGGCATGCATAACAATTAAAGCTCAATGTTGTGTATATAAAATCTATAAATGAACAGACATTTAGTGAAAGAGGTGACTTATCAACGCTACTCTATAAAAACAATAGAAAATGCATTCCAATAAAAGTATTAAAACAAAGTAATAAAGAGTCAAGTGTGAGAAAAAAAAAACAATCTTATGTCATGTAGCTACATTAAAGGAAATTAACAATTAGGCATATTTTTGATAGAAAACTCATTAATAAATTTTAAAAAACACCTTTTTTACACATATAAATGATAATAAACAAAACACAAAAAATAATATGTTACATCTAACGATATCATTGCATGCTTATAGCAATGTAACTTTGCTTTTTAGAAAGTGTGCTAAAAGGTTTCTCTGTCTGTTTTTCTTTTAATTATCCAATGCCGATCGAAATCGATCGAACAAGGCCTTAAATCCACCTTCTGTTTACAAACAACGTCATGTAAACATCTTGCCCAAGCAAGTAATTACTTATATGTTTTACATATTTTGTTTATAATAAGTAATAGTAAGAAATGACGAATAAAACTAAAGCTATTAGAGCTTTTATTTAATGGAAATTGGAAACAAACATCAGTTGTTTACATCATAATATAGGATATTATAAGATATGCGATATTATGAGACTATAATGTAATCTAATAGAAAAAAATCGACACCAGTCTAACCAGGAATCGAACCCTGAGTCTTAGATATAGCTAGCGACGTGAAGACGACATTCTAATGTTATAAATGAAAATCTATTTTTGTAATATAAATCTGTAATAAAACAAGTTTATAAAATTTAATAGAAATGATGTTATTTATAAAAAAAAAACTAATTTGATTCTAGCTAATTAATACCATTTTACGAACGATCATTAAAGACTTAATGTGCAAGAAAAAAAACAAATCTAATTACTATGTGGATTTATAAATATCTTGCCCAGACAATATTTGGGTTATGTTTCTTACTGATAAATCATAATAACTAATGATTAAAATTAGAACATATATTATTCAACATTAAAAAATTGCAATAAAATAATTTGCCATCAATAAAGGAAGTCTTAAAAGCTTTGTAACAACACATCAACAAGTTTTACCGTATATTACTAAGAAACTGGATTAAGTGCAATCGTTAATTACCCAAAAGATATGTGCACGAGGTATTCGTGTAATCGAGTGATGCACGATGTATCGATTCTCGTAAATTTCATGAGCCGAAAGATAAGAATGGAGGGAATTAAAAATGTCAACTTGCTTTCTGATACTCTAAAAGGGAGGAGCTGTATCAGTACCGTATATCACCTGTGAGTGTGATATGTTACCCTGGTACTTTTTTCTCGGTATAAAGTACCTAGTGTTGTTCTCTGATTGGATGACAACCATAAATATAAGATAATTTTTTTTTAGTTAAGACTTTAGATTAGATTCGGTTTGGTTTATTGAATCTTAATATATAAATTTTTGTCTAATCTGAATAGGATAAATATTTTTCTTGATGTTGAATGTGAAGCAATGGATATTATTCTAAGTTCGGGCCGCTCTTCCTTCTTTTTATACAAGCGCTTAAATTAGCTGAAGGAAACACTACATTATGCGTTTTCATCTATCCCTATTTCATATAAAGATTTTAAAAACGCAGTTTATTTATAAACACTAAAATCGATACAAAATAACTAACAAAGTAATTAATAAAACTACAACATCAATAAAATGTCGGAGATGTATGTTGTGAACACCGCTCAGCCTATGATTGGCTGCATGGACGCCATCTTTGTTTGGCGCATGCGCCCTTCGTGATCATATGTGTGTTAACACATGCTCTTTCACTACACACACAGGTCAGGTACGCATAGATTTCATTGAAATAAATAATAACTAGTGGACGCCCGCGACTTCGTCCGCGTGGAAGTCGGTATCCCGTGGGAGTGAGAAGTTTTCCCAGTAAAAAGTACCCTATGTGTTATTCTGATGTATAACCTATATTGCTGTAAAGTTTTATCCAAATCCGTCCAGTAGTTTTTTCGTGAAAGAGTAACAAACATCCATACATCCATACTTACAAACTTTCGCCTTTATAATATTAATAGGATGCATATTTCATTTTTAAATGTTGAAATCATTTAGAAAGTAAAGTACTGAAAAAGGTTGTATATAAAAAACATGTTATTTGAATTAAATCTTTTTCGTTTAGAATTCTACCCGTAAATATAAATCTGTTTATTTTATCAAGTGAAATAGAGATGTCTGTGTAAACTCAAAATCCAAAATATATGAACCGCATCATAAAAGTTCTACGCAAACTACAACATACTACGCCTCAAATACTACTACGATTAGAAGCCAACGTATATTATTTTCCTTAATTTTCAACGTAACACTATAAACATTCATTGAATCGGAACTAACTTCATTCAAAGCAACTTTCGAGTGGAGTTCGAGTGTAATGCGCTGTTATACTGTCAAATTGTTGTAGACCGTAGCTTGTTACTGGGGTATAAATGTCGCGGCCTGACAACACCGCCATTTTAATTTCGGATGCGCGTGCGCGGCACCTGCTAAGATATTTCTGTCTCACTGAGACGGATTCCTTTCTAGCCCACCCCGGACATTTTTATGAGCCAGCATTAGCAAACAAATCATTGGAACAGTCCATTTCTAAGTTAAAACAAGCCGATTATAGGCCATTTTATATAATTTTAGTGAGATACGACGTTGTTACGACACTACATTCGCTTTGATTATGATCTTTTTCTACATGTCAACGTTATTGATCACCAGCATGTGCCGCCGAGGACGGTTCCTTTCTAAAAGTCGGTTGATTCATTCTCTTTTTAGACGCGGCGTATAAGAGTTATTTTTATAAACACAGCGCTTATATATTTTCCATCGGGAAATAATAGAGTCTCTTATTCATTTTTTTTTTTAAGTTTAATGAATATATTTTCTATTTTATTTGCCAATTTTTGCTATGTTATAGTATAAATAATTGGTACTAATACCTTTCTGTTCACATAATTATTTTGTAAATATTAACGACTATCAATAAAAAATTTAAAATCATCTTTTTTAATTATAATATAGGTACTGTACTACATTTTATGTGATAAGCTAAACATTCCTTCATTTTTTTATAAATACAAAAATAAATATTGATTTGTATAAGAATTATTATTACATTGCAAACACAAGGTTAGTGATACTCACGATAAACGATCTTTTGTGTTCTTATTAGAAAAGAAGATTATATATTGTTTTTTATGTTTATTTTTTAATGTAAAACGAAACTTTAGGATCAATTATTTTCTATTACTTTTATCCCCCTCGGACACCTAGTTGTTACATCATACGGGGGTAACATATGCTATAATTTACTCGTGTGAATTCGCGGGAAAACAGCTAGTTGATAATTTTATACGAATGAATGAATATACTTACATAATGTGCGTGATTAAATTTAATAAATAATATTACACTGTCACAGCTTATGATATTTAATATTGTGAAAATAAGTTTTTGTTTATCTGTTTTTTTTTTAATTTTCATATATTTATACTTATATCATTCTAACTTTTAAATATTTTTTTAATGGCAATATTATCCACCTTTATCTACCAAGCGCATTGGTTTCATAAGGAGTGAATCACGAATTACTCATTTATATCCAGTAAAAAATGTAGATATCGACCAAATTTAGTAATTATAATTATTTAAAATACACATATTATTATGTAAGAAAACAAATATATTTATATACACAACTAGCTGTTTACTGAGACTTAGCCCTCGTAAATTATAGCCTATGCCACACACTTATGACGTAACTTCCTGTAAGTGAAAAAAAATTGAAAATCGGTCCAGTAATTTTGGAGTCCATTCAATGAAAACAAATTAAACTATGAAATCCTGCCTCTTACTAATAATAAATATTTAAAAAGTATCATAAAATCTTAACGTATGACTCAAAACTACTTAATGATAAAAGCTAAAATTATTTAATATCTTCGTAATAAGTTTAAATTAGTTTTATACAATTATAAACTATAAATTTTATTGGCGATACAGTTGTACATTCAAATTAAGTTCCGGAAGAGATATCGCAATAAAATAGCTTATTAAAAACATAATCATGCTATTGTATTCCGTGTACGAGCTATAAAGCCTACCTTTTTCGGGTACTAAATGGACCTCACAGAAGTCTAGACTAACATGCCTCATTTATGTACAACATCGTTCATAGCAAAGTTGTGTTGTTTTTATCGGCTTTTCTAACTTTAATTAAATTATTTCTTGACAAAACTTTACAAAAACAGATATTGCATGAAGTTATATTTTTTTGCATTTTTTTTAGTTATATATTTAGTTTCATTTTCTTTACTTAGAGTCATATGAAGCGCTCTGTTTGAATCTTTGAGAAAACATAAAAAAAATGAAATATAAATATCTCAGATATTCAGACACGGGTACTAGAGGTACTGAGGTGTAGTATTAGTGCAACCTTGTTTTAAAATTTTTCAGAAATTACCTACGCGCTAAGCCTACAGTTACCTACCGCGCATATTTACCTTTATAACTCATGAAAAAAAATAACATATAATCAAATATTGCATGATATGAAAAATATGTAGTCCTAACCCCGTAATATGAGCCCTGGTGTATTTCTAGCTAACGCTCCCCACAGAGATCAGTGACTCTATCATGTATCTTCAAGCTCTGATTAAAGCTGAATGGGCTGTCAAAGTGATCAACTGTCAGTTGACGTTCACAAACGTGACTTTCAAACAATATGTCTTTTAAACATTCATAGTAATTAACATTGCAATAATAGTTATCTACTGTATTGTAACCTTGTACCATTGAGTTGCCGATTTTTTGGCGTAGATAACTATTATAGGTATAGATAACTATTATAGCTATCACCTAGATAACTATTATCTTAATGACTTGTAAACATTAAACAAATCTGAAATTCAGATCATTTAGAGCTTGGTTTTGACAGACAATCAGAGCTTGAAAGTCTGGTAGAGCCGCAGGGGTCTATCGCGTAACTATGCTTACATTTATTTTATTCGATAATATATTATAGTTTGAGTGTGTTTTGTGCCAATCTGAGTATATTTTGAATTTGTATTCAATTAAAATAGAGTAATTTATATAACGTATATAAGATTGTTATACTTATATACTTAGGCAAAAGATGATTAATCTACTATCTTGAGTTATGAAAATTGTCCAGGATACTAGAAACGATAGATAAATAGTATTATTAGTTAATCAATGTTTCTAATTAGAATACTTATTACTTAATCCTATTTATAAAGTAGGTATAAATAAAATTATCTATATTTACGTTTAATTTGATTTAGGTATAAAAAGATAAGGTAACTATAAGTAATTTAACTCTAAAAGTGTGAAAACTAGTATATATTTTATAAATAACCTTTCTATACATTATATATTTATTAAAATATAGCGTTACTAAAATATATATAAGCAGGGTATTTTACCTATATGCAATAGGATATTTACTATATTAAAAACTAATAATAATGAGTTTGAATATAACTGTAGCAAATTTATTAAATATATACCTATTTTCAATTATAATTTCTCACATTTCAAATGCTTTATGTGTTAATCTATCTGACTTTATTTTTGTGTTTTGAATTTAATTAAAATATGATATTAATAATTAGATGTTTTTATTTTAAATGCAGATGTGCATTTACATCTAGAAAAAGTATATATATAATTAAATAATCTATAGTAAATAAGTAATTGTGGGTACCGATGATGGGGTACCTTATTTACCTACCTATTATGTTTTAGTTAGGTTTATTAAAATAAACTATATTCAGAAACTATATTAAAATAAATCATTACACCAGCACAATGAAGACCCTGTTCTTAAGATTTAAAAAATTGTATTTTTGTTATATGATCATATATTTATAAAAAATAGTATAATAATTTTAGTTATAGTTTTCAATTTATTATATTTAAAATAGCAAAATTTAATAGTCATAATATGACATAAAATAAAGTTTAATTGATTCTAGTGTAATAAAAAAGTCGTTAAAATATAATTTTATTGTCTTTTAAGTGTCATTATTGTGTAAAATAAAAAATAAATGAGACACCTAATAAGAAAAAATTTGCTAAATAAAAGCTCTTATTCAGTCGAAATAAAATGAAAATAATTAATAGAAGCTTCATTTTGACGAATATACTTATTTAACTAATGGGTAAGTATATGAGTACTATTATTGCTATTAAATTATTTTAATTATTCATTTGAAACAAAAAGCTTTTGAAATAATAATAAACAGTTAGTCGACTGAATGTAAACGCCGCCGGCCGACTTCATTTCGTTTGTAAAATGTAGTATTGTACTTTTATTGCCCACTCATCGTTTTATGGCCCTTTTATATGAGAACCACGACATTTTGCGAGCGTTTACAACTCTTTATAATTCACCATCTTTACTTTTTAATGGCTTATATATTGTAATTAATTATAATAATGAAAGTGGCAGATTCCGGTAAAATGTTTTACTTACCAGCCGTGGTGCGTTCAGGTTAATTATTATTTAAAAAAACTACCGTCGAAACTGTATTTAAATAATTATTTAATGATAAAGAAGTGATGAAGATGTGTTTTATTGTCTTTTTATTGGCATTTATGTAATTATTTAATTGTTATATAACTGATAAACAAACATTTTCCAATTGGAATATATATAAAATGAATGTTTATCATTGTTTTTTTGGTTATTCCACAAAAATATTTTATTTGAATCTATTTTGACACAAGAAATTTACAACTGACGATGCATATGTTTTACTACCTACATTATACACTAAAAATACACTAATCTAAAGCTTATGAGCTATTAAATTATTTAGAATATTTATTATCACATACGATTTTATGAGTCATTAAATGATAACATAAAATAATAAAAATACGGTTTTTATATAACATGCGGTAAAACTGAGAACAGAGGCAGCACTAATAAAACTAATTTTAAAGCATTCTTTACTAGCTTACGAATTGAATATGTTTCTCTTGTTTACAGGGTGAGATCGGAGCAGGTGTACATGCAGTCAAAATGTGAAACATTTACCAGTGATGGACATCCACGGATAACGTGGTATGTCAGGTAGAGGCTGCGCTGACGGCTGAGCGCACGTTCCCATCGCATCCACCGTCGCTGCAGACGCCGCAGATGCCGCTGAAGCTGCTGCTTGGTGGTAGAACTGTGCGGCCGCCGCCATACTCGCGGACGCTGCCGAAACAGCCGCGCCTCCATTATGCTGACCCAAAGCATAGTTCACCATTGGATCACCCCCAACTGCCGTTGGGTATCTGCAACTCTTGTCGTCCGCCAATCCTGCGCCCGCCGAAAACGGCACTGAGCCTCCGAACTGCTGATGGTGCGATACGTAAGGGTACATCCTTGCTGGCGCCCCTGGCGACGCGGACGATGACGACGACGAGCGCTGCGGGCTTCCAGCGCCCGGCGAGCCCGCACCAAGCGCTGCCGCCCCCAGTCCGCCCGATAGCGAAGATGACAACGACGTCGATAACGACGACGACAGTGAAGAAGACAGCGACGCCTCTATAGGCGACGCGCCAGCGCCCGCGAACAGATTCTGATGGTGAAACTGCTGATGGTACTTTGGGAGCATGCTATCGATGATGAACTTGGAACTCATCGCTCGGCGACGCGGCGCGCGACGATCGCCTCGCGGGAGATGCGTTTATCGCCGGCGATTCGGATCGATTCTCGCGCGTGCACCTCTACTATGGCCGCGGATCGTTTATGACCCGCGTATGAGGCTCTACGACTCCGAATTCCCCGTCGTGGCGAGCGTTACCGCTGCCGCGCGCCGCACGCGAGACGGCGAAACGAGGTGCGTGCGTGCGAGCGGGATGTAAAACACGCGAGGGGCAGCCCGCCGGAACCCTCTCCGTCTCATTAATTCCTACCTGCGTAGCTTATATTAGAAAGAGATAAAAGCTATTCGCTAACGACTATTCCGACGGCCATTGTTCGTAATGGCGCCGGGCCCCGCGCACCCCCGCGTCCACCTCGTCTACGCCAATAGTAATCCGGTGCAGAACATTCACCGCCAATCACAAACCATTCCGGCATTTCTAGCTGTCAAATTGAATGGTTTTATGCGAAATAGTAGCAATTATTAAAAACTTAGTTTTGTTATTTGATAATATTATTATTTATATTAGCTAATTTTTTTATTTATGTTTAAGTTTAGGATTTTTTTCGTGTCATCACATATGTAAGAATCAGAAATAAATACCTAAAATGCCTTATCATATTTTGTTAGATCAGATTTTAGAAGTCATTAATATTTTGATGTATTTCTGTTTATAAGCCTTAAAAAAGGTAGACAATATTAAATTTCGACTCTTTAATCAAACTCTTTAATATTGAAAGGAAGTGTATAATTAATGTGATATTATATTAATAATTTATATGTTTATAATGTTAATAAATTATTAAAATTCATTCATTTGATTTAAAATATTACAGATATATTCTAATAAAAAAAAAAAATTATTATGATCGTAAATTATCAAAAAAACAAAAAAATACAAAATCTAAATTCATGAATTGCACCCGTTTGCGTTACCCCAGCCACGTGGACTGACGAGTGTCACTTGTCTCTCTCTAGCGGTACTTGCCATCTTTATTACACATTTCATTCATCCTTACAAGTCGTAACCACACCGAGCACGTGTGCAATAACAAACTTTATGACTATAAAAATAAAACCGTTTATTGAGTGAGAACTTTATTTATTTATTACCGTTTAGACTGGTTCCTGTGTTTAGTGCATGGTTTTTATAGGGTTTAGTTGCCTTTTCAGCTTTATCAGGTCGGTGGTACGACTGTGTGGCAGTGGAACATTGCATAAGTATAGGTTTTATGTTGTTATTGCGATGTTCATGCCGTAAACTTATGGAATTCAGATATGGACAGTTAGGGGTCATTTATTTTACGATAAACGCATTTTTTATCGTTCCGTAATTGTTTCTCGTTCATAAAGATGGAGGTCAATTGGCCTACTGGAATAGTTAGAATGAAAGAGAAGCATGCATTAATGCACTAAAAGCTCATTAATTCTTATTTCATCATTTGTAGAGTTGGATATTGGGTACTTAGCTATACATATTAGGTAAACATTGTTAGGTGTCAATGGATAATCATTGGTAGCCCTTTATGTGGATAATAAAGAATTGTTAATAATGTTTAAAAATAACTTTTAAACTGGAAACTTGCAGTTAGAAAATATATGTAGGTATTTATTTTTTCAACTACTCATACATCGAGTTTTTATACTTTAATAACTTAATATTTATCCTTCGTATATTATAGAATTACTTATGTATAAATTGAAGTATAAGTTATGAGATAATAAAAAAATAACAGGAGTCCCTGAACACTTTCACATATTTGTTAGATAATTGGAGTAATACTTATCTACCTATTTGAAAATATAAGAAAGCCAAATTTTTCTCTCAAGTAAAAATAGCTCACCGCTGAAAATTACATACCTACTGAAGTAGAGTCGGTTGTTTCACTCTTCCTCTTATTATGAAATAGCGAGAGCAACCGTTTCTAATGCACAATAAAACATTGCTTCTTCAGTAAATAAAGGTAACAAATATTGTATTTATAAACCAGCAATGGATGTGTATCTATCGTCTATGTTGTAAGAACCGTTATAGAGGTAGATTTTTATAATAGGTAAAGGTTAGAGCAAAATCATATTTAGTTCTTGTGTCTCACATGTTATTTATCAAAAGAGTTAAAGAGACTGACACTGATGTATTATTAGATATAAGGAACGCTAAGGTATTTGTAGACTTCTCATGTTACCAATTAGCTACAAGTGATCCTTATATTTAATAATTTTAAACAATAAAAAAATTGCGTAATTGAATATTGCATAACTGGGTATTATTTTGTGTTGAATAAAGTTTGACATTATTTTCACATTATAACGCTGTATTAAGAAATATCGATTTTTAGACAAAGTATAAATTCACTATTGGAAATTAAGTACAACGTTCCAATTGATATGAGAATTTGTGTATTTACTGTAGAAATGAAATGAAATGAAAATATCTTTATTCAAGTAGGCTGTTACAAGCACTTTTGAATCGTCCAAAAAAGACTTTTTTCCCCTACTACTTGTTCAGGACGTCTTTTAGCTGACAAGAAGAACAAGCGAAAGAAACTTATCAGCTTTTTTATCATAAGTAATGACATTTACATAAATCATGTCATTACCAAAATAATATGTATTATCAATTTATCACAATAGTAAATACAACTTTCAAAGTCTGTAGGATATAAGTTGAACATATAATTAGTCTTTATAGAACAAAGCGAAGGCTATTAATTCCATGCATTGCGATCCTTAAAGTAATCATCAACTTTATAATAGCCTTTACTCATAAGTATATTCTTTACATGAATTTGAAATTTATTTATGGGTAGGTCAATTACATTTTGTGGAACTTTATTGAACATAGCAATACATTTACCCAGAAATGATCCTCTGGTTTTTTGAAGTCTGAAGCTTGGAACGGCAAGTTTATCTTTATTTCTTGTTCTTTAATATCATTTCATATCTTAAAATATTATAACGGCATGTAGGTATATGAGACCCATATATGCCGAACAATCCTATAAGGCACAACTCATCTCTCTGTGGAGCACCTCGTGCCGATGTTGAGATTATAATCCCTTTAGAAAGTAATACATTTACAAATTTAAATAAATAATTATAATTTACTACAATATTTCTATCAATAAAAAAAAATAAGTGCAATCCAAATTTTGACATGTAATCACTTTTGAATAAACCATTTTACAACAATGAACATTTTTTTAAAGTTTCTCTTTGCTTAAACTTAAAACAGCTGTTACTATATCTAGATTCAATAGTAAAAAAATTTTTTTTTTATTTATTTATAGATCATTGACAGCAACATTTTATTTCTCTAGTGTTCTTTTTAATTTTAATATTATTAAGTCTGAAGTATATGCCAGAAGATATTTGACCTGGAAGTCTGAATATGAACCTTACCGATATTTTATTTATAATGAAGCATCTAACTAAGCACCAGAATTTAAAGTGAGTATTTAAAATTAGTATGATGTATTTCTGTTTTTTTTTGCACCATCAGCTTTAAATAGTAGTTATTTTGAAGTTCCTCCCTTGTATGTTTCGTTGGTAAATTAACTTTGTATTAAAAAAAACAATCAAATAATGTATCACATGCTCTCCCTCAGAAGGAACTTTGAACTCCGTTACGAGGACTCGAGGTTGTTAATATTTAATAAAAGCTCGAATTTCAAACTTAATAAAAAACTACCTACATTTACTAACGGCCAAGTCAATATCTTTCTTATTGAATTAAAAAAAGCAAAATTCTCTCACATTGCACAATTGCATTCATATATGAAAGAATGCAAGGAAAAAATATATTCTTAAAGTAGGTTAGGGATTCACAGAATGTGTTTGTGTAATTCGGGGTTCACATATAGCACGCGTCACTCGCGCGCGATATCGCATCGCGCACGCCACGTTGATTATCTCGATTATCTCACGATTCGCCGCAGCACGGAAATGACTCACAAAGTTCAAACAAAAATTGCGATACAAAAACGCATTACTTCAATACCTACCTTAATTTTGAAATGCGTTTATTTATGTTTTTTCTTTATCTCAAATTTATGCATATTTGTTTAAAAAATCTAATTACATACTGATCTAGTTAAATTAATTGGGTAGACTTATTAGTTGTTAATTCTTATTGGATTTTATTAATACCCAAAGAGTTGTAGATCTTATTGGAATATGGGTTAATTTTTTATGCAATAAGAGTGATTTTCTTCATTATTATACAAAACTTCATTATTCACAAAATTGGGATTCATTCACAAATATATAAAACCTTTAGTATTTTAATTTTAATTTAATTAATATAAATATTCAACGGAAGAAATTACTTTAGATTTCTAAGTATCGCTCTGACGTTTCAAATTCGATGCTTAAGGATAATTTTTAAAAATTAACTTTTCTATTTTATCTCGGGTCTGGGTGTTGAGGTACTTGAGCAATGTATGTAATGTTGCCGTTTTAAGTTTATAATTATGATATATCAAATTCAGAAGGTATATGAGACAAATAACTAACAAAAACTACGCCGATATAACCCTTATTAATGACACCATTGATTTTTTCAGTTTCTAATTAAAATTTGTTTATTACCCACTAAAAATTATTTTTTAATATTTTAATTAAATAATGTGCAGATTATTACAATTAATTACTTTTCTTATTCATTATCACAACGACAGCCATTCTAACATAAACATTATAAAACGTTATTACAGTTGTAATAGATCCGTAATAGTGAGACTCTATTGGCACTTTTTAGTTAATACGCTAACAAAAAAAACACTTTGAGAATGGCACTTTTCAATTGCAATAATTATTTCTATGGTTGCAATTTCAAGAATTCTGCAAATCAATTGAAAAATGTATATATTATACTCACGGAAATGAAAATCATGATGTTCAGTTTAAAAATATTCATGCCCCACCCACACTGGTTACTGATTAGTCACTAAAGAATTTCAATAAGGGCC